TCCATGGAACTGTGGAGTAATGGAGGAGATGGGCATTAATTAGATAACATTAAAGACATTACTCAAAGATGTTATTGCAAAGGTGTAATGACAAATGGTGAGTGCTATGAGGAATGGAGAAACACAGGGCTGACTCCAGCCCATGGGTCAAAAGCACTCTGCCTGCTCCCTCCACTGGGCCTTGGTCTCCTTCTCCACACAAAACACAACCTACTGCTGAAATCTGCATTCCTGCCTTGGAAAGCTGAACCATCTTGCTTCTTAGCTGTCTTGCATACTAGACTCATTCAGCTTTTTTGGGAACAGTCCCACTTCTTTTATCTCAATGTTGGGTCTCACAGTCTGATTTGGGATTCTGAGCTGAAGGTCTTTATCATGTTGGGGAGAGCTCAGATGAGGAGCAGTAAAACATGGGACTCAGAAGAGTCAAAAACCCCAGGTCCACCATCGTCTTGCTGTATGGTTTGGGGTACATTATTTCATTTCCCCATTGAAACCTACCTCACGTGTTGCTCCACTTCTAAAATAGCTAATCGATCTCTTCCTTTCTGTCTACAGTTTCGTTTTCCCAGTGTCCTCGCCTGGCTACCTCAAGGGGCTGTCTCATCTCCTATGGATGGACACTATATTGCCTCTGGTCCTTTGTTCCTTCTGTTTCCTCCCTATCTGTTGCACCTTCTTGTCTTCGTTTCCTCCTGTCCAGTTTGAAGCCCACAGTCCATCATCTTAGTTTCTCTCTCAGTTCCTTTCCTTCTAACCACCTGAGAAAAACCCAAGCCTGGATGAGCCTGAGTACCTGGCTTTCTTCATGCCTACACACCAGCAGCCGATCACTGTTGGAAAAAGTATTACTTTGAGGGAGAGATGGCAGCCACCAAAGATTCATGATCACCCACTGGGGCGGGTCCCTCCGCACTGCCCGGAACTTCTCTCCTGTTTCTCTCCTCCTTGTTCTTCTATTTTCTACCTCCATTTCAGATCTCTTCTCTCCTCAAACCTTTTCTACCTCATTCTCCGCAGGCTGAGACTTTACCTTCCTCACAGAGAAAACAGAAGCCTTAAACCTGGACCAGCGTCAATGCCCCACAAAAATTCACCTGTATTTGCACTCTGCTCCCCTCCTTCCCTCCAAATCCACTCGGGTCCACACCCTACCTCTGCCCACTACTCAGGAGCCTCACATGATTCAGTGTGAGTTCTTCTATATATTCAACCTCTCCCTCTTTAGACTTTAAAAGTCAACTTTATTGAGGTATAATGTACATATAATAAAATGTACCCTTTTTTAGGTGTACAGTTTTACGAGTTTTTGACAAATGTATACACCCATGTAACTATAAACTTAATCAAGATACAGAGCATTTCCATCACTCCCAAAAGTTCCCTTTATTCCTCTGCAATCAATCCTCCTGGCACCTCCCACTCCAGGCAACTTCTGGTCTGCTTTCTATCACTCTAGATTAGATTTGTCTTCTCTAGAAGGTCATAGGAATAGAATCAGACAGCATTTACTTTGTGTCTGGCTTCTTTTGCTCAGTATGTTTGTGAGATTCATCTAGGTTCCTGTCTTTTTTCTTGCTGAGTAGTATTCCACTGAATGGATATACTGCAATTTGTTCACCCATTCACCTGGTAATGAACATTGAAGTTGTCTCCAGTTTGAGACTTTTATGAGTTAAGCAGCTATGTATATTCATGTACAAGTCTTTCTGTAGACACATGTTTTCATTTCTCTTGGTTAAATTCCCAGGAAAGGAATTGCTGGTTGATATGGTATGTATAGGTTTAATTTGTAAGAATCTCCAAAACTGTTGTCCACAGTGATTGCACCAGTTTGCATTCCTACCAGCAAGGTGAGAGAGCCCCTACTTGCTCCACATCCTTATCACTGTTTGCTGTTGTCAGTCTTTTTAACTTTAACTATGTGATATGATCTTTGCTTTTGCTTTCGTTTGCTTCAAACTAGTTTCGTGAATGAAAGAAGTAACACATTCATGTGTTAAAAATTGGGAGGGGGAGAGTATAGCTTAAGTGGCAGACTGCATGCTTCGCATGCATGAGGTCCTGGGTTCAATCCCCAGTACCTTCTCTAAGAATAAATAAGTAAACCTAATTACCTATCCCCACCCAAAAAGAAAAATTTAAAAAAATTTTAAAATTGTACAAACAGCATATAATGAAAAATAAGCCTTCCTCCTACCTTAGTTCCTATATTTCATTCTACTGAACTTTTAAACAAATTCTTGTATACATTTCCAGAAATTACATACATATGCACTACAGAGGAGTGAACTATATCCTCCCAAAATTCATATGCTGAAGATCAAACCCCCAGTGTGATTGTATTTGAAGATAAAGCCTTTATGGAAGTAATTAAGATTAAATTAGGTCATAAGGCTGGGGTCCTGATCCCATAGGATTCGTGTCCTTTTAAGAAGAGACCTGAGAGCTCTCCCTCTCTCTTCTTCTCTTTCTCTCTCTCTCTGCCACCTGAAGACACAATGAAAAGGTGGTTGTCTGCAAGCCAGGATGGGAGCTCTCACCAGAACTCAACTATCCTGGCACCCTGAGCTCGGACTTCCAGCCTCCAGAACTGGGGGAAAATTTTTTCTCTTGGTTAAGCCACCCAGCCTGTGGTATTTTGTAACGTCAGCCCAAGCTGACTAAGGTGTACACACATGTAAATGCATATAAATACATGGGGACATATTAAACACACTCTTCTGCCACTTGCTTTTCCCTCTTAGTATCTAAGTACCAGCATGCCTGCCTCATTCTTCTGGTGGCCATGTAGTATTCCAGTGTGTCCATGTCCCATAAGTGATTTTACTAGTGTCCTGTTGCTGGACACTTAGCTTGTCTCCAGGCTTTTGCCTTTACAAAAAGTGAGTGTCTTTGTAAGCTTCAAATGTCTTGACCCACACATGGGGAGTATATCTGTAGGACAAATTTCTAGAAGCAGAATTCTATCCATATTTAAATGGGCTACAGTGTCTCTTTTATTAAAAACAAAACAAAACCCTCCCTCCATAGCTTCCTTTCCATGTCAGGGACTCCATCACCTCTCTCCTCCCTCCTGATGGTGAACTTTTAAGGTAGCCGTCTACACTAGCACCAGGTACTGTTCCAAGCGCTTTCCATAAATTCATTTAAGGTTTTGAAGGACCTCTTGAGACAGATACTATTTAGTGTCCCCATTTGTAAGTGAGACTGGGGCACTAAGAGCGTGACTCACCCAAGCACACTCAGCCACTGAGTTAAATTTGTACCGAGGCAGTCTGGCTTCAGAGTCTGTGCTCTTAACCCTCTTGGTTAGTCAATGTGTAAGCAAATGAGCAATCAGATGAAATTGGGGGATGAAGATCTTTAGAGAGTATAAAATACTGCAGAGGGTTGAAAGCTGTTTCAGGTTTCTTGCAGCAGAAGTTCCCCTTCAGTTGGAACAGCAGCTTAACCAAGCCAGGACACTGCCAGAGTCCCTGTCCTTAGGTCTGCAGGGTCCAAGGCATGGTAGACACAAGCCTGCCCACCTGCCTCATTTCTCCTTTGACCTGGGCTCTTCCCAGAGGCAGTTTCAGGAAAATGGGGAACCGGGGAGGTCATCTGGAACTCCCAGTGGCAGTTTTTGCTTAATCTTTTGTCTCAATCTTTCTTCAGTCCCTGAGTTTCTCCCTTCTTAGCTGAGAGGCAAGAGAGTGAATGGGTTAAGACATTGGGCTTTGGGGTCATGCAGAGCATATTCAAACCCAGCTTCTGTAGATTCCATTTTTATGTCTGTAAAATGGGTATAGAAACACTTAAGAACAGTTAAGAGAGCTGTGATCATTCAGTGAGATTAAGTGTGTACTCAGCAGTTCATAAATGCCAGTGGCTGTTAATTCTCATTATCCTGGCACTCAGGACACAGGAGGGTAACATGGGGCAGTCAAAACAGCATAGGCATTGGGGTTGGGTGGCACTGAATTCAAATCCCACATCTGCTTCTTACCAGCTGTGTGACTTTATACATGCCATTGAATCCAAGGGGTCACATGCCACTTAAATTTCCAGAACATTTTGGGAATTTGACATAGGGTTGGCAAGTTGGTTTTTCCCACAATATAAGGACATCAATAATTTTTAAAGAAAATCTAACATTTATTATTACCATTATGTAATAAATGAAAGGACACTTTAACCACCCTCCTGCCCCACTGCCAAAAAAAAGTAGGAAGGATATAACCTGAGAGTAATGAACTCAGAACAGTGTACTTGTTTCTCTTACTTCATGCATGCCCAACATTTGGAAATGAGCACTTGTGCTAAGGTTCATTTTTCTTAGCTATAAAATGGAGTGATAATATGTACACAAAAGCACGCGTCATCTAGCTGACGTGCCGGGTGCAAAGTAGGGGCTGAAGGGCTGTTAGCCCATCCTCGGGTCTTCCTCTTGAGCTGGTTTGCCCCTCACTCCATCTCCGCTAATCAATTTCGTTCTCTCCTCTTTTGACCCTCCTGAGAGCGGAGACCAGGACCAGAAAGAGCCGCTGCAGGGGATCTCAAAGGACTTTACTGAGGGCGGAGGGAGGCGGTGTTGACATGCATAGGTCGTGGTGCAGGTGGGAATGACCAAGAGGGAAGAGCGCTCACTCTGTCCACAACAATGTAGGGACTCTGGGGGAAGGCGCCTGTTTTCATGAGTCTTTAAATGGAGCTCTCTCCAGGCCGGCAGGGAGTGGGCCCCAGCTGGAGGGCAAGGTCTGAGGGAGAGATTTTACTATCTCCAGAGACAAAAGGACTTTTGTGTGTTATGATAACTGGGTAGGGTGGGGTGGGGAGAGGGGAAATGGTTCATGGGAATGAGATTCCGCAGGAGAAATAAAGAGAGGGAGAGAAAGAGAGACAGAGATAGAGCAGAGAAGGAGGTGACTGAGAGAGACCAAGGCAGAGAGAGAGTGACTGGAAGGTAAAAAAATTAAAGAGAGAGTCCCCTCGGGCCAACTTCTGTTTTCGCCTCTCAGATCTGAGCATTCAGAGAGGTGCTGAACTACCTGAAGGGTTTGTGAAGCCTGAGCTTCAACCTGGGTGCCTTTGCAGACAAGCCGTGTAGCTCTCAGTAAGTCATACCTCTTTGCTAAGCCTCAGTGTGCCCATCTGTTAAAAGGGTGCCTGTGCCCATGCAATGAGGATAGAATGTCCACAAGCTAATTTCAGGGTATTGTTTTTTTTTAAGCATCATCTCTTTATTTTTTACATGCTCTGTTTTGGCAAGGGAGGTAATTAGTTTTGTTTATTTATTTATTATTGGGTTTTTTTATTGTTATTTTTTAAATGGAAGTACTGGGGATTGAACCAAGGACCTTATGCATGCTAAGCATGCACTCCACCGCTGAGCTATACCTTCCCTTCAGTTACCTTTTACAAGCGTTGACCTGAAATGGTCCCAACTCAAGAGACAGGGACCACTGGGCCTCCAAGGCTCCAAGAAACTGGTTGGCTACTATTGGATGAATGTAGGTAGGTTTCAGGATCAAGATTATTTAATGAATACCTTTTATTGGATGGACAAAGACTTATGGGTTTGAGGCCTGAGCATCACGAAACTGCTGTCAGTGCTTCTTCCAGCCCTGGCTCTCTGAGGACTGAGTAAATTAAAGACTCAGGCCTCTTTCCTGGAGGCCAGAGAAAAAATAGTTGTAACAGGTAAGAAGGAAGGGAAGGAGGCTGTTTTCTTCTGGCACATGCTGAACATTTAGGAAATGGAATCAGGAGGGAAAATTCAGATTGGTAGAGTGAGCCCCACTCATGTCCTTAAAAAAAAAAAAAACAACCCTGGTCTCTGGGAAGGGAGTCTTAGAGGGACAGACCCAGCTGGAGGCCTGCCGGAGCCCAGAGAAACTTCAGACCCGTGGGAGCCGGTTGAACTTGAGCCCAGAGAAGCACATGTTCCTGTTGCAGCTGCCTTGGTAGCTGGGAGGGCAGGCAGAACACGGCCTCCCCATCTTGTACGGTGCCTCGCCGATCCAGTTACCCCTGGAAGAGAAAAGGTCGCAGGGAGGCGGGGTCGGGGGACGGTGACATGAGCCACCTTCGCACAGATTTCCAAGTCTCAGCACTGCTTGTGACCAAGTCACCCTTGCAAGCCTCGGTTTCTTCATCTGTAAAACCATTAGACTTTCCTCCCTCCCAGGGATGCAGCGCAGGTTAAATAACGGAGCCACGTGTGCAGGTAGGATTAGCCCTATTTTACAAGAGGAGACTGAGACCTACGGAGTGGAAATGACTCATCCAAAGACTTCAGTGTGTACGTGGTAGAGCTGAGAAACCCAGGCCTGGTAACAAAAATAGGAACCAACAAGCATTCCAAAATTATTATGCGCCTGGGGGCATTACCTGGGACAGCTCACTTAATTCTCTCAACAATTGTATGAGTAGATACCATTTCCTTCCCATTTTGCGGATGTCCTTCCCTCTTTCCTTCCTTCTTTCTGCCTTTCATCTCTTCAATGCTAAGTATTTTGTAAATGATGAAGGGCTACACGAGAGTAAAAGGCAGTTATCATGATGTAATATTGAAAGTCTAAATACCATTTTTACTTAGAACCTGTTCTTGCTTTTGTATGAGCATCTGTAACGTTTGCAAATTTGTATACTGTCACGTTGTGTGGGAATTCCCATTCTCCTTTCTCCGTGTTTCCAAGAGACGTGGGTATGAAGACCACACTTGTCCTCTCTCCCACCAAGCTGATTGGAGAGTCTGAGCAAGCTCATTCCATCCTTCCTTTCTTTCCTTTGGGATGTGCCTGCCTGCAGGGAGCATGCATTCTTGGTTGCTCTATTTCTTGCGGTAAGCTTAGAGGGGCTGGCCCTGCACTTAGGAGAAGAGGCCTGTGGTTGTCCAGTGTGGTCTGCCAATGGATCTGAAGGTCTAGTTCAACAGTGAGAGATTTGCAAGCCCACTTGGCTGGCAGATTGAAGCCACATTCTCCACTACTGACATCATCAGTGAGACTGCCTATCCACCTGCCTTGGTCCTCTACCTCCCAATCGATTCTGAAACTTGGGTAAGGAAAAAAGGATTCTTGATCGACTCTCTAAAAGTACCAAATTGTACAGTATTAAGGTTATTTAGAATGGAGGAAGGCAGGGTGTCCTGTGTGTCTTCCTTTTCTGAGAATTCTGCCCGCCGCACCTCAGGGGCCACCCTCCTGCCCCAGATGCCCGTCTCTGCCACAGAGCTGCACTCACTTGATGGCGTAGTTGCAGACCAGGTACACAGCCTGGTGCCAGGTGCTGCCCCAGACCTTGATGCTGCTACAGGTGTGGATGGCACAGCCCAGCCGATTGGAGGATGCCCACACCATCTGAGGAGGGACAAAGACAGGCGAGGCTGTGAGAAGGGCTTGGGGCTGGACGGCTCCTGGGCTCGGTTCAGGGTGGATGCATTAGATGAGGTTTTCCTGGGGGAGGCAGTCTGCCCGTCTCAAGGTGACGGGACTGGAGGCACACTGTAAGATATTATTTCTCAAACTTTTTTTTTTAACTACAATTAACAGTAAGGAATAAATTTTATACTGTTACCCTGTGTACCAACACCCCCACCCACCCACACCACACCCCCACCCCACAATTGGAACAAAAGCTTTATGGACCAATATTTACTCTTACCCTGCGTGATACATGCTAATATTTTCTATACCGTTCTTTTTTTCTTTTTTTAATGGAGGTACTGGGGATTGAACCCAGCACCTCTTACATGCTAAGCACAGGCCCCACCACTGAGCGATACCCACCCTACCATACCATTCTGTTAGATTTCCTTCTTTTTTCCCGAGTAACTAGTGTTTAAAAATCATTGTTGTGTTGGAGGTTTAAACATAAACTTTGGCGTTAAACAGCCTTGGGTCAGAATCTCAGTATCACTGTCTGTGTCTCTTTGACCAAATCACTGAACCACCCTGTGCCTCAGTTTTTTCTCTGGTAAAATGAAGGTAATAATATCTCATGGTAATAAAATGAAGGAAGGCCATTTGGTTTAGGCCGCACATTTCCTAGAGGGTCTCGAACTTTGATTTTTGACATTTACTGCAAATGAGTCACAGAGAGATCGGCAGGACAGGAAGAAGACATTCGTCATACCATTGGAGGTTTCTGTCCCAGGTCTTGCAACGTGATACTGTGCTGTATTTTTATGTGTAGTAAGTGGTAACATATTCAATATTAGCACTCCAAATATACTATAATTTTTTATAATCATTTGGTGTTTCTTTTTTTTAAGATAGCAAGAAACTTAGAAAACAGAAAACACGAGAAGATGTTTGAACCTATTGAAATTGAATACACTTTTGAACTTGTCAGACCAAACATCTCCATTTTGGGGTCAAACAATATGGTCTGACTGCCTAAGACGCTCAAAACGAGGTCAGTTCCACTCGATTCAGTGCTCACACAACTTTCCAGGCACAGGCTCAGTATGTAAAAGGAAGTCCCTAGGAGCCTCTGTTTTATTTCTAATTTCTGGCCCACAACATTCTTTTTCTCCTAAGGTAGAGGATTTGTTCTCTGTCAGCCCCTCATCCCGACAAGGGGTACCTGGGTATAGTGGGAGCAGACGGGGCCACTGCAGCGCCAGGGGCAGTGCGGGGTGCAGTCCCTCGGGGCCGGAAACGAGTAATTTCGCTTCTCCTCAGACCAAGACTTCACGAGATCCACCACCGAGCGGTACCTGGGGAGGCAGAGAAGATGGAGGAAAAGTCACTCTGCCACCAGCGTGCTCGGTGACCTTGTTGAATGAGCGAGTGAAGGAAGAGCTCAACTCACCGGCCAGAATGGATGGAGAGGTTCTGGCCCACGTATCTCATCAGCTGTGGGGGCCCGTGGGACCAAATGCACTGGGTGGCCCAGGCCTCAGCAGACCTGGCCAGCTGCTCATCCCAGACCTCGGAGAAAAGACAGGTCATGAAATTCCCCGGGGGAACAACTGCCATCATCTCGACAGTGCCTAGAGATGCACGTACACAGTACCATTACTCCCCCGTCTCCTCGGAACCCTGCAAAAACCCACCTGATAAATTAGAAGACCGAAACTCAAGGTCAACAGCAAGTCCACACCAGAGCCAGAGCCACACCTAGGTTTCTGACTCCTAGCCAGATGCCCTTTTTCTCTCCCTTGGCTTCAAGCCTGAGGCTCTCTGCTCCAAGCAGGATCCCAGGGTATTGGCCCGGGAGTTCCCAGCATCCCTAGAAGTGACTGCGCCCAGGGTGATGGGAAGAGAATGGATTTTTAAATTGTATTTATTTTATTTTTAAAATGTGTTCATTTTAACATTAAAAAATTAATTCAAAAGGGTTTTTTTTCTTGAATAGTGAAAACATGCACAAATTTAATATGTAAGATGGAGGAAAAGTGGAGTCTTTCATCTCTGTCCTGAGTGAGTCCCTCCAGCCACCCTGACCCTGGGGACAACCATCGCTGTGAGTTTCTTGTGTCCTGTTCCAGAAATATTCGACACCTGTAAGCATATTATACGTATGTACATATGTTTTATATGTATAATTATACATAACATATGTAATACATAAAATAATTACATATTACATAATATGTACATATGATAATTATGTGTGTATATAAATTATAAGTATATATAATTATGTATATATATAAATTTTTTGGACAAACGGTTGGATGCCAGACACTCTATTTGGTACCCCCCTCTTTTCACTTAACATGATAGGTTATCTTAGTGATTACTCTGCATCAGGACACAGAGATCACCCTTCTCATCCTTCTTAACAGCTTCCTAATTTCCAGGTTTTATAACCTGAAGAGGCATCCCTTAAAAAAATACTAGTCCCCTTCCACTCTGACTTTCTGGGATTCTCTCAGATACTGTTCGTTCCTTTGTTTCATCTGTTCCTTCAGCAAATATTGAACAAGGACTCACAGTCTAGCAAGAAAATGAGACGTGAAAGAATCATTGCCATCCTGGTGGGTGTGAGAATGTGGTACGGGACCTGAACTGTCTTGGAGGAGAGAAAGGACTCCTGGAGCAAGAGATGTCTGGTCAGATACCTGTCCTGTGGGCAGAAGCCGGCTAGTAAAGGAATGGGGGCCCCCAAAGAGGGGTCCAGACCTCTCCCCAGGGTTGTCAGACTCACACATTTTGAGGGAAAGTAGAGGAATGTTTCCTTTGTGCCACAAATGGGCGGGGCGAGCTGAAGGGACATGCTAACATCAAACCGGCACTCACTGACCCGCCTGGGACCCCCTGCTGAGACGTCTCCCTCTCTGTTCCACAATTCATGCAATAATTAAACACCTGTTGTGGGGAGGGCCACACACACACTGGTGCTCAATAAATGTGTCATTGTTTGAAAACTGGAGGGCCTTCTAGGTGCCAGGCGCTGGGTTAATCAATGGATGAGTCAGTTAATGAACAAATAAGCGACTCGCCCACCTCTAGCTGCCTGCCGTTTGGGCTCCTGTCCCCCACTCCTCCCAACACCTTACTGCTACCTGACGTCTTAATTATACGTAAATTTTGTGGTCAGTCTTCGCTTTCAATCATCTCCACTAAAATGGACCTTGTCCATCCTGTTCTCAGCAGTGTGTGTCCACAGAACTCAGCATGGAGCCTGGCTCCAGACAGGAGCTAGTAGGTAACTGAATGGACACATTGCAAAAGCATAAGAATTTTTAGGCTGTCAGGGAGCGCGTATTTGTCTTAAAGGAGGCAGACTGACAATCTCTTTCCCTAAAGAAACCGGTAGGTGGGCTGGAAGCCTATCTGTCCAGGGTAGTTTGGGACAATGGTCCTGGGGGAGGGGCTGTGATAAAGAGAAAAGTTCCCTCCTCCACTCCAAGAGTCTGGCTTCTTGGGGGCTGGGGTGAGAGCCCCTGGCCCTGTCCCTTTGAGGGAAAACATCCCAGCTTCCTCTGTGGGTCACTGCTGTTTCTCTTTAGCCTGAGACCTTCCAGGTACCAGACCCCACTGCTCCAAATTCTACCTCCACAGGCTAGCTGAGGACAATCTGGGTGTGTCCATCAAACTCCTGAGGGCAAAGAGACGATAGCATGGAAAGCTTTAGCCACCCACCCGCGGTGAGTCCCCAGCAGGAAGCCAAAATTCTTGGAAAAGGTATTGTGTTGGTTAAGACTGCAACCTTGGCAGCTGGCAGACCTGGGTTGGAATCCCAACTGAGTGACCTTTAGCAGATTAATTCTCTGCATCTTGGTTCCTTTATTTGGAGAATGGAGTTCATTCCCACCTTGAAAAAAGAGGAGGCCCCTCAGGGTTACACGTAGTGCCTGGCTCACAGAAGATGCTCCATAGATCGCAGTCCTCTGCTCCTGCCTCCAGAAAGGACTTGGATAACTGCCTTAGTTTTCTCATCCATAAAATGAGCAGACTACTTCCTGCCCTCTCCACAGGGCCCAGATGCCAAGATACTGTCTAGGGAAGCCAGGCTCCTGAGTGGTCCAGCCCTTCCGGGGCATGTTGACTCAATGGCACTTACTGGATGGGGCACTGGGGAGAGCATGGGGACTCACCATAAACTCCATGTTGGCAGCAGGTGGGTGCACGCTGGCCCGGATGTGGTTGTGATAATCCAGTAAGGCATTCATGTCCCGGGCCGAGATGTGGCGCTTCCGCCGGTACCTGGGCACCCCCAGGCCACTCAGGGGCTGCACAGTTGCGCCCTTGGTCTGGGCCAGTGCCAGGGTGGCATTGGGCATCAAGGTGTTCATTGTCTGGCCTGCCCAGAAGAACAGGCCTGCCAAGCCCACGGTGCCAGGCAACAGGGACATAGCTGGCTGGAGAGGTCACACGTCTGCCTTGTGCAGTCAGGGCCGGCTGCCTGGAGGGGGTGGGCATGAGGGCACCAAACCCTGAATGTTCTCCAGCATCACCACCCAGAGGATGCTAACTACTGGTAACTTGGCAAACACCTCTTGACTCAGCTGTAGTCTAGGGGCACAATATCCCATCCTTCCCACCAGTGGACTGAGTGGAGTGGGGCAAGTAAGGAAAAAATCGACCCCCAACAGTGGCTAAATCCAAGACCAGGCTGGTGGGTTAGATGAGGCTGCCACT